CGGATGCTGTCAGAAGGTAACCTTCACAAATCCTCTATAATTTAACAGAGTATTATTTTATTTAGCTTTAAATTTCCTCCTCAAATACGAAAGTTATGACCTCTTTATTATGTATCTTGAAAATATCAGTTGTCTCCTTCTGATTGTTAACTTTGTATTTCTTGTTCTCCTTAAAACTTCCTTATTTCTCACATACTTTATCTATGGCATTCCCAATATTAATTGATGAATCTCTGTATCTTCAACTCTTTTCTTCATCCATGAAGAAATTGACTAGCATTCATTGGGAAACAGTGACCCTATTTTGTCATTCTAACGCCATGTTAGGTGGAATTTCAGCTTGTTCAATAAATTAAAGAAACATTATTTTTTTTTATACCCAGGCCTTTCATGATAGAGGCAATGATGACTCCACAGATTTTTCTTTATTTTCTGTGAATTGCTATGCATTCTTGGGTAAGAGAGTGAAGTGGTTTCCCATTGAACTTCTCTATGATTTGTGGATGTGTAGGTGGTGTAATGGACAGTGATTGAAATAAGGAATTGGAGAGTCAAGTTCAAGTTCCAGTTGAGTTTATTGCATTCACTTACACACAAATATCTTTGGGAAAGGTATGAATCCATCTCTTCTCCCCTAACTATGAGTGAATAGCAAGGCAAACATGCCCTATAGACATAGTTGGCAACCAATCTTGGAGAATGAAAACTCTGGAGAGAAGAGGCTGATACGGCTAATATGGCTGCAGTGTACATGGTGCCCCTATGACCCTAATAGCTTATGGAACCTGTGATTATGGTCATGATCTCTATGACTTGGAATTCAGAATTTTCCTTCTCTTAAATAGGTTAGAAGAAAAGATAGTTTAATGCCTTCTCCAAAAGCATTTGTGTGAAAATGGATGCAACATATTAGACTAGAATTTGAACTTGGCTGGCCTGTTTCACTTTCCATGCCAATAACTGATCTACTGCCACACATCCTCTGAATTTAAATGTATCTTTTTTAAAAAAAAATACTTATATACAAAGTCTACCTAGAAAGGATCCAGCTATCCATGTTTGTGTGTGTGTGTGTGTGTGCCAAAAATTCACTCTCTGTAACTGCCTGCATACTAATCACATTCCAACCTTGATTGGAGTGAAATGATAAAAAAAATACAAATGGAAAAAAGAGTACAATTAAAATTTTTGAGGAAAAATGCATATTTGTTAGAAATTACATTGTAGATGTACTGTACGTATTGCTGGCAGTAGATACCAAGTATAAATACAGAATATTATAATTGAATTTGTGTTTAATTTTAAGTAATTGTTTTACAATTTTTTACTGCACAATTTGCACATTAATAGGCAGTTCAAAAGCATACAGTCCTCTGTATTAAGTGCATACAGTCCTCTGTATTAAGAGCATACAGTCCTCTGTATAAAGTGTTTGTGCAAATCTGAAAATACCTGCTTCTGCATCCAGTTCATTTAACAATTCCTTTTCAATGGATAGCGGCATGTATGATTCCAAATTATCCTCAGACGGCAAATTTCTTAGCCTTGTCTTTATGATCTTCAGCTTTGAAAATGTCCTCTCACATTAGACTTCAGTAACTGATAGTATGCAGATGACTTTATAAAGTTCTTTTTTCCTTTTTATTAATAAAACAGTTGTCTGTGTTTGTTTATAGCATTTTTATTTGATATAGAGGCCCACGCCATCAGGGACACACTTGCCAGTGTGTAAGCTAATACCCTGGCCAGTCTGCCACTGTGAGTGATATAATCCATTGCCCTGAGACATGAAGAATTTAATCACTCAGTGGTGTCTCACTGTCAATATCTGTTTATACATAGACAGTAAAATATCTTCTGATTAGTAACCAAGATTTTGTATTAAATCATTTGTTTTTATGGTTATATAAACAGTGATAAAAAGCCAAAGAAATGGTACATTGTATGTAACTTTAAAAATTTCATATTTATTTTTTGTTTTGTATTTTTTATAGTATATGTTTATTTTATATTTGTTTATTATTTTATATTATTTTCTATTATTTTCAAATTTTCTATTTCTTTTTTATATTATTTTATATTATATATTTATATCATTTTCATTTTATACTTTTATAATTGTTTTATTAAAAAATATTTTTTATATTTTATACTTTTTTCATATTTTTATTTTATATATATTATTATTTTTAGATTTAAAATCATTTTTATATTTTAATATTATTTTCATTTCATATTTTATGATTTTTATATTTTGCATTTTTAATATTATTTTTATATTTTATTTTTAATTTTTATCTCTTATTTTATTCTATTTCTATTAATATTATTTTTATATTTCATTTAAAATCTATTTTCTAATTTTATATTTTTTATTTTAATTTTATATTTTTACATTTATTTTTAATTTTTATTTATTTTTTTTTGGTGCATTGATTACAGCCCCAAGAAATGGTATATTGCATGTGATTGTACAAAGTAGGCATTGAAGTCCACCTTTTCCTATCATTTATTAATGATAAATAGTTTTTGATGTAAAAACACACAAACAAATCCCTAACTTCCATTCATTTGATGAATTGGACTCAGCTGTATTTAAAGAAAGAAATAATGTACAGCTTCATTCATGCTTACCATAGTAACCACTGGGTGTGTACTCTGAAATGGAATCCGAGGCTGTGATTATTTTTGTAATGTAGTATTCTACAAAAAATATATAAATATGACAACATAAATATGTGGAATTCTGAAATTGGTAAAATCCCAAGTGGGAATTGGTGTGGAATTCTTTAATTTTTGAAATATTTCAGGGTGTGATTGTCAGTTCACTTTCAATTTGTCATTTAATACACATTTACAGTATAATGTTAAATGCTTCAAATCCCCCAAAAAAAAAAATTATAAAAAGAAATTAGTGCTGTAAAAGCAAAGCACAGTGTAGGGAGACTGTTGGAGTTATCTCCTAAATTTTGAAACCACCACTAGGAGGAGCTATCAATTTACTATATATACTTGGCGACTTTCTCATATCAACTTCTTTTTACTTTTCATTTTCAGCAGACATTACAACAATGTAATCTCTTGTGACGACTGCGTTTTCCCCTTCGTGGTGGGTACTATGCGTTTCCTTTGGGAAATGCCATGATACATACAAATGCATGCACGTACATACAAACATTCACTCAAGCATTTCTTGGAACACAAACTTTACACAATTATTTATTACATATACACACTATTGTTTTTGTATCTCTTTCTTATTGCACATATACCTGTTTGTACATATATATATACTCAGTCTTTGTTGTTTTCTTTTACATTTCTTTTGACTGGACTCATATTTAGTCCGCCATGTTTGTAGTGGGCCCCATTTCAGGAGATACACGTGTTCATCTCACAATGTGTACAAACACACGATCTGCTACAAGACAACAGTTGTTTTCCCTTGGGTTGAATGCATGAGTTCAACCTCTTTAGAGAGGAAGAATTCTTCTTCTCTTTTTTTGCTTCCATTTAGAGAAAGAAATACCTTCCTAATCACCAAGGCGTCTACACACATGGAAAATGGACAATGTGTGCACAGCCTAATGTAGAGAAAAAAAAAAGTAATTTTGATTCACCTTGCTACAGACGGTCAAAGGCCATAAGGCTGGTATGGTTATTTCTTGGTTTGTTTTTCTGTTAAACACTCTTGTCCTTGGAACTGTGTGAATAATCATTTGTTTTGGGACATGTGTAAATCTTTTTATCATGTGTACGTAAGTTGTATTTACCTTATTAAATGTTTTGTTCATTACGGGCGTGTATCTTGTCTCTCATTTGCATTCAGTGTTAGTGTATCAATGGCTACACTAATGCTAATATTAGTACTCAGTGTTCAGGAAAGCATTACTCTTTCCAGCACTAAATAGCCAACCAATTAAAAAAGCATAATTAGTTGTCTACTCATGTACATGTAACATGTAACTATTTTTTATTCTTATTTGCAATTTGTCTTCAGGATTTTTTCTATCTGCAGAGCTAGAACCATCAATAAAAGAGATTGATTTATTTGTTTTTTATGGCTTATCAACATTTTGTAGGTTATTTGAAGTCAGAAAATATTTTTAGACTGCAAGAATTTTTTTGAGATAATAATGGTTGAATGATAGAAGTCCTCTTAATTAGCTTATAACTAGGGTGGAGACTATGTGGATTCATGCCTTTCCCAAGGGTATTTGCATGTAAGTGAATAAAATGAACCTAACTGGAATTGGAGCTTGGCTCTCCAATTAACAATTCTGAGCCATTATTCATTACACCACCTGCACATCCAAGCTTACAGCACCTGGTATTCTCATGCAGTTACCATCTAGGTACTGACCAGATTCAACATTGCTTAACTTTGGTGACCATACGGGAACCAATGTTTCAGTAGGATGTGGCCATAAAAGCTTCATATATTGCAAGGAAAGTTGGTTCTCTGTGTCAAGCTAAAAGTTTTTTCTTACCTGAGTCCATCCTCCAAACCTGCAAATCTACCATTTGTCCTTGAATTTAATACTGTTGCCATATATGGTCTGGTTTCCCCCGCCTGCTGTTCATCTTGAGGTCCTCGACAAAATTTAGAGACAAATATGCAATGTCCTGATCTGGCATCTTATCTACAGTCACATTCTCACAGATGTACTATGGCTTCCCTCTGTCTTTTCTACAAATATTTTCATGGCAATTGCTATAATTTTGGATGTACAGGTGGTGTAATGTATAATGGCTCAGTATTGGAAAGCAATGAGCCAAATTCCACTTCTAGTTAGATTTGATAGGTTTGATAGCTTCTCTTATATATAAATGCAACTGGGAATAGTATGGGCCCACCTTTTCTTAAACAGAAACAATAAAAGACTGCTGGTGAGGTGAAAAGAAAAGGGGTCAAGATATGTTGAAATAAGAAAAAGAGACAAGATATGTTGAAATAAGAAAAAGAGACATAATATGTTGAAATAAGAAAAGGAGACAAGCTATGTTGAAATAAGAAATGGAGACAAGATATGTTGAAATAAGAAAAGGAGACAAGATATGTTGAAATAAGAAAAGGAGACAAGATATTTTGAAATAAGAAAAAGAGACAAGCTATGTTGAAATAAGAAAAGGAAACAAGATATGTTGAAATAAGAAAAAGAGACAAGATATGTTGAAATAAGAAAAAGAGACAAGATATGTTGAAATAAGGAGACAAGATATGTTGAAATAAGAAAAAGAGACAAGATATGTTGAAATAAGGAGACAAGATATGTTGAAATAAGAAAAGGAGACAAGATATGTTGAAATAAGAAAAAGAGACAAGATATGTTGAAATAAGGAGCCAAGATATGTTGAAATAAGAAAAAGAAACAGGATATGTTGAAATAAGAAAAGAAGACAAGATATGTTGAAATAAGAAAAAGAAACAAGATATGTTGAAATAAGAAAAGGAGACAAGATATGTTGAAATAAGAAAAAGAGACAAGATATGTTGAAATAAGAAAAAGAAACAAGATATGTTGAAATAAGAAAAGAAGACAAGATATGTTGAAATAAGAAAAAGAAACAAGATATGTTGAAATAAGATAAAGAAACAAGATATGTTGAAATAAGAAAAGGAGACAAGATATGTTGAAATATATATTAGAATAAGATTCTCTGTAATACTGTATAATGGATCAAAGTGGAATGTCTCTTTTTAGGCAAGGGAAGCAACCTGGAGAATGGGGTGTCAGTTTTGTATAGACCTGGTGTTGAAGCTGTTTTCAGGTTGGTTGGATGTGGCACTGGTGAATTCTATGACTGCCTGCTACTGCTTCGAGTGACATGAGTGGGTCCTTTTGATAAGTTTTTTAGCTGTGTTTGTGTTTGGCGCTGATGTTTTAAATTTTATATTTTGAGGATATTTATTTTGTTAGCCAGATATGATACTCAAAGGTCCTGTGCAGAAAGTGACATTTTTTGTTTTTTATTTTGTTTTTGTAGTGTTTACATCCAGCTAGCAGGTGTGGAGCAAATTAGAAAGCGGTCTAATTAGAAGCAGAGTATAACAGTTTTACCAGAATAATTAAGATCAAAGAATCCTGATTACTTACCTGTTCTTAAATCCTTGGTTAGATATATATATAGATAGATAGATATAGATAGATAGATAGATAGATAGATAGATAGATAGATGGGCTTACTCTATAGCATAGCCATCTACTTTATCTCCAAAAAACTTGCAATGAAGAATTTTGTTAAAGCTATCATCTTGTCATCTAACATGCCATATGGGATATATCCATGGGCAAATGGCCTGAAATCTGATAGGTCTACAGTTTATTAAACCATTTTACTAAACCCCTAGGTGTCCATTATATTCTGCTGCAACTTGAAGTAGGGAAGTGTTTCTTTCTTTGGATTTATTTTGAAGTTACCTTCTAGCCTTTGTCTGAAGAGGCAAAAATACAAGGCAGCAGGTGGCTTGAATTCAAAGTTTTTTCCTAGATTGGTTGCCAATTAAGGTTATAGGAACCAGTCTGCCTGGCCATTTATCCATAACTGTGGGAAGAGATGGAGTCATGCCTTTCCTAAGGATGTTAGCATGTAAATGAATGCAATGAAGTTGGCTGGTATTCAAACTCAGCTCTTTGATTCCTCAATCTGAGCTGCTAAGCATTATTGCATTATGCCTCCTTAAAGCTACACAGAATTAAAAATATAATTTTGATTAAATGTTGTCCCAACATGGCTGAAGATTAGCACGAGAAAGATATTTTTTAAGAGCTCATAATAATCTATTTAATTCTAAGAAAGGACTTATTCAATGACATCGTCATTTGGCCTGAATCTAGTCTCTCGTAAAATGGTCGGTATTTAATGATTCATGGTGTCTTAATAATCAGGACGACAAGCAAGCTTAAATCAGACTGCCTTTTAGCTGCCCATATTTTCAAGATATAGTATGCAAGTGCAAGTCTCATTGAAAAGTATACAATAACTTAAAAATAGATCAGCTAAGAAAAAGTAATATGATATTATACAAGACACTCTGCGGTTTATGTTTCAGTATTAAGGAGTGAGATTAGGTGGAGTTAGTCTGAGTAAACACTGACCTCCCAAATACTTCAGTTTCACATATAAGATGTGAGAAATATTTATGCATTATTTTAGAGGGAAACCATATGGTAATGGTGAAATTAGCCGTTTCCATACAGGAAACATTAGGCATTCCCTGACTGAACAGTTAGCATTGTTGTCAACTTAAATTTAAAAGATTTTTTTCTTAAACTGTTTTTCAGGAACTATTTACACTATTTACATCATTGGGGCTGTTGTCCTCATCTTTATTATTGCCATATTCACAACGTTTCAGCTGTTGTAAGCTCTGGCCTTCTTCAGGTGATATTTGTTGGAATTTCAAAACAATACCATGGGTATAGATTGTTCTAATTCCACATGCCATACCTTTGGATATCTCAGTTTCAGTTAATTCCTCTCGATAAGTTAACTCTGGAAGATTTTGTTCCTCCTGCTGTAGCCACGACTCTTTGGGTCAAGTCACTTTTGGTACAAGACAATAGCAACACTCAGAAAACAGAACAGTTAGCGTTAGCATCGGGCTGAAATTTATAAGATTTTTTTTAGGCCTCTCAAGTCCTCTTTTATCATTCCTACTCATATTGAAGGGAATTTCCTTCCAAACCTTTTGTCTAAGGTTATATGGAAAGTGAATATCTCAATTATGTGATTATTTTCACTTCTAGTTATATGTATTAACCATTTTTGTTGCTGTTGGTGGAGTTCAAGTGATGTGATTTTTTTAAAGTTCTTTAAGTATTTGTAGCCCCAGTCTCTAGGGTCTGATGAAGACCTAAAATGATTCATTCACTTGAAGCCTTTTTTAATCATTGATCTGAGAAAATGGTTTTTTAACCTTTCTTTTATTCAGCACCCTTTTCCAGATATTTGCATCTCATTTTAATATCGAAGGTGCCATTTTGATTTTAAAATTACATTTGGTAACTGAAGCAGAGTTAATACGACAGAATTGATGAAGTGTTTCAATTTTGTTTGCATTATTCTAATATTAATTCTTATAGTCAAACCATTTCCAGTAATAAACTCATTTACAATATGTTCTTATTTACAATATGTTCTTATTTACAATGCATTCATATTATAATGGTGAAATTGATTATTTCCATATAAGAAACATTTGATATTCATGATCAAACATTGCTGCCAGTTGAAATTCATATAATCTTTTTCTTAAAACATTTTTTCAGAAAATTCTTCTTCTCAAGTTCACTGTTATTATGATTTTTAGTATTGACAGGGATTTCCTTCCAAAGATTTTGTTTAAGGTAGTGTGGAAAGTGACACATCTTGATTATATTATTATTTTCCCTTCCAGTTACAGATACAACCCATTTTGGTTGTTGTTGCTGTTGGAAGTCTTCAAGTCTTTTAATCATTGATCTGAGAAAATAGTTGTATATAGATGACAGTTTACATATTTCTGAATAAGTTGGATGTCATCTATGACATCCAAATAAGAGTCTACATCTGATGAGTTTATTTAAGAGAACGACTTGAATTCTCAAGTTCACTAACAGTTATCACTCTTTTTCATATTGATAGGAGTTTCCTTCCAAACCTTTTGTTTATGGTAGTGTGGAAAGTTAACATTTTGTTTATATCATTATGCTACACATTTTAGTTGTTGGTAAATTTCTTTGTGATTTTGTAATGCCCGTCATTGTTTTCAATGATTGTCTTCTTTAAAACCCAAGGACTCATTCACTTGAAGACATTTTTAATCATTGATCTTAGAAAACATTTGTATATAGATGATAGATCACATATTTCTGAATGAACTGGATGTCATGCATCGAATCCATATAAGAGACAGCATCTTGATTATATCATAATTTAAGTTATTTAAAAGAATTACTTGAGTTCTCAGGTTAATATTTTGGTTTTGTTGCATCTTATGATATTGAACCAAAGTATCTGTTAGTGTCCACTAAGTGTTATTGCTCTTTCTAGTACTGATTGGAGTTTCCTTTCTAACCTTTTGTTTTAGATTGTGGGAAAGTTAACATCTTGATTATATCATAATTTAAGTTATTTAAAAGAATTACTTGAGTTCTCAGGTTAATATTTTGGTTTTGTTGCATCTTATGATATTGAACCAAAGTATCTGTTAGTGTCCACTAAGTGTTATTGCTCTTTCTAGTACTGATTGGAGTTTCCTTTCTAACCTTTTGTTTTAGATTGTGTGGAAAGTTAACATCTTGATTATATCATAATTTAAGTTATTTAAAAGAATTACTTGAGTTCTCAGGTTAATATTTTGGTTTTGTTGCATCTTATGATATTGAACCAAAGTATCTGTTAGTGTCCACTAAGTGTTATTGCTCTTTCTAGTACTGATTGGAGTTTCCTTTCTAACCTTTTGTTTTAGATTGTGTGGAAAGTTAACATCTTGATTATATCATAATTTCTTTTCTTGTTACATGTGCTACCCATTTTGGTTGTTGCTGCAATTGGAAGTTTTCATATGATGTGGTTTTTGTTATTTGGTAATGCTCTTGGTGATTTGTTGCATCAGTCTGTAGCATCTTTAAGAAATAAAGTGGGTCCTATGTCAAGTATGGTAGTAAACAAAGAAAATGATTTTCTAATGTTTGTAATCATGAAAAGCTCTAAATAGTTGTACAAAACTCAAAGTTTGACTCATTTGACAATAATTTCGAACACTATATTAAAAGAAAAACATATATAAAGTGAAACTGACAAGATAGATATTTATGAAGTTAAAAAAGACAAATCTTTGAAATATCAAAGAGCAAATAAACTCATCACTTAATTTTCCTATTTCTTATGTTACTAAAACTGCTGTCTATAGAAAAAGCTAGTGTTTTTCTTTTAATTTTTGTTTGCTTTTTATAATAATTTAATAGTAGAACAGTGAAATGTTAAGGTTAACCCAGTCTGATATGAAAAATAAAATTTCTTTATATAAAAATGACATATCTAATGATTCAAGTTCAGGGACTAGCATATCACATTTATCATGAAAATTGGAAATAGCAAGTTGATGGTTAACTTGGTTGAAAAATAGTAATGCTACTAATTATTGCTGTTATGACTTATTAGCTGATATGTCATGCACATTTTTTGTTTGTAAGTTCAAATTACCAATGAAAGTGAAAGAAATTCTACTTTATTAACTAAATTTTTCAACTGATTCAGTCTTTCTTATTAAATCATGATGTTGTTGCTGTTTTTCAACTTAATTTCTCTTTCTTGGTTGAAGCTGATAAATTCTGTTTTGCCAGTATTAATGTTGAGACTAATCTCATTGGCAGCTTCTATGAGATTCAGAAGTTTGGTAGTCTTATCAATCGTGTCTGACAACCAAAAAAGAGAACATTATTTACATTATTTGGACTATTGTCCTCATCTTTGTCGCCATATTTATTACAACGTTTCGGCCGTTGTACACTCCAGCCTTCTTCAGGTGGTTGGAATGTTGAACTGAACCCTTTATTTCGCTCACTGGGGTAGACCGTTCTAGTTCCACGTGCCATGTTTAATAGATGTCAGTTATCAGTTATCTCCTGTTAATTTTCGTCTGAAAGTTCTCCACTGCCTTAGCCGGGTATTGAACTCACACTCTTTGGGTCCTGTCACTGGATCTAACTAACGCCTTTATCCACTGTGCTATGTGTCCTTGAGGACACATGGCGATAAAGATGAGGACAATAGTCTGAATAATGTAAATAATGTACATAATACCTCATCTAAGAAATATAGACATATACTCAAGAAAGAGAAATTAAGTTGAAAAACGGCAACATCAAGTTCGTCCAGGAATTTGTTTACCTCAGCAGCAACATCCAGTCAACGGAAAGAGACATCAAAATCCGTAAAGGTAAGGTCTGGGGTATCCTAGATGGTATGAGCACCATCTGGATGTCCTTCCTCCCTGATGATCTTAAGAGGACATTTTTAAGGCCGAGGTAGAATCTGTTTTGCTTTATGGCTCAACAACATGGACACTGACGAAACACCAAGAAGCATCACTTAACGGAACAGACACAAGGATGTTACGAGTTGCATTGGACATCAGCTGAAAGAAACACGCAACAAAGTAACGCCTGAATCGACACCTATCTCAGTTTCGCTAA